AATTTTAATTTTTTTTTCGGTGTTACGAGGTGTTATACAAGAGTTGTTCGTGTCATTTTCCTGTCAAGCAAATCAGTATTCTGTGATCCTTGTGTTCAGGTCGCGTACATATTGAAATTATTATTGCAATCAAAACTTAAGCACTAAACCCACAAGGGTCAAAAAGCATACACATTGAAACGACCAGACTTTCCTTGCCTGTTTTGGGCAATGATGCAGGAGTTTCTAGCCCTTTCCTTTCGATATTTAAGTCGCCTCCTGCGACTACCACCGCTTACGAAGGAAAGATTACAACCCACTTCTAACCTACGCAATGTTTCCCCCTCACACACTTTCCACCAGTTATAACGCAGACACTGGCAGAAGTATCCCTGGATTTGAACTGTTTAACAGTCTTGGATGGTACTGGAGGATATGTTAGCAGCTCAGATACTGAGTTTTTCCCTTAAGTGGGGTTTAAGGTAAAACTCCGAACTTGGTATATACCATTCATGTAAAACTCTGAACTCTGTCACCATTTCTGGGAAGCTCATAACGTCCAGTAAACTGTCTCTTGTGTTCTTCTCCGGTGAATTTCATTGGACATTCCAGCGAGTTATTGTTGTTACTTAGTTTCAAGTTAATGAGACTTCGTCTCTGAGCAAACCTCATTAACTTTCCTTCCTCAGGCACTGAATAACCACTTAGGTATTTAATGTCCAAATAATAATAATAAAATAATAATAATAATAATAATAATAATAATAAACAATCTTATAGTGCAGGTAAATTATAAATGTCTAAAGTTTTTTTTATTTTATTTTTACTGTGACATTTGCACACGTGTTAACTAAAGCTAGATGTACGAATACAATCTAGGTGCACGGAAATACAAACTAGGAAATGATTCGTCCGAAAAAAAAATGTAACTTTGTTATTAGTCAGTAAAAAAAAATCACCTGTGTATATGTCTCACCTCGCCCGGAAATGAACCCAGGCTCTTTGGTTGTGAGCCGAATGCTCTGCCAATGAGCTACGAGGTGCCCAGTGCCAGGTTTTAAGCTGAACATAAATTATTAGGTTAAGTGAAGGACGTGGAGTCAGAGGATTATAACTTACTGGACCAAGATATTATCAAAGCAATAGGGGATTAAAAGATGGAGGGGACTAACTCTACAAGAAAACTGTATTTGTCAAGGGCACCAAGTCAACAATGAAACATGTGTTTGTCCTCGAAAGACAGTAATATACTCGAGTAAAATAATGGTGTGCAAACCTTAGCAATTATGATTTACATTATCGTTAATTATAGGAAGCATCGCTTGAGTTGAATTTATGCCTCTTAAAACGGGAGACCAGCAGTAGCACCAGTAACAACAACGGCTATAGCAGGAGTAGCAACTGCAAAAAATATATCAACAGGGACTACAGCAACAGCAGTTGCAGCAACAGTAGGAACAACGGGTAAGTCATCACAGACGCCAGCAGGTGCTCCTAGGAATGTTGGTATTGTTTCTTTGTTGCTGCTGGTTTCTCTGAATAACTGCTGTTGCTGCTTCTCCTCGTTAACTGCTGTTACTCCCCTTTTTAACTACTCTAACTCTTGTTAACTACTTTAACTGCTTTTTAAACTACTTTTCATACTTGAAGCTCTGGGTGCCGCCGCGTCCATAACCTGAAACACAAGACACAAGTTAGTGTTGTTTTGCAAGTTTTTTTCAGATAAGTAACAAATTTCATTGTGGGGAGAGGGTTGGAAAAGGTTGTATTTAGGATTAAGGATAACCCAGCAAAATCAAGTAATATAACTTATTTTCTTTGGGATTCTTTTCCAGAATGGACCCAAAATAGTCAGCTAACACCTCAGTATACTCTTTTCCTTGTAAATATAAAATTAGTTGTAAGGAGACTTGTCCACACGTTTCCACGTGCCCAGGATGCTACTTAACATAGTCCAGTAATACCTAGGTACCTATTTTACTGATGGGTGAACAGAGGTGTCAGATATAAGGGGGTTGGAGTATACCTGGAAAGGGTTTCGGGGTGAACGCCCCCGCCACCCGGTCTGTGACCAGGCTTCATGGCCTCATGAGCAGTCCAGGGCTGCTCATACTTCTCGCCTAACCTGGGAGTCATTGCCGGGATCTTTCATTGTGAGCCAAACACGCTACCACTGAGCTCTACGTTCAGTTGAAAATAATTCTATACAGAAATCCTCAGAAGGAACCCGGATCACTACCTCTGCGAAATGCCAGATCAACCAGGCTGTGATGACTATGTCCGTATAATAGGCTGTCAAAAGCAAACCAGCCTGGCTGAACAAACATTCAAGAGAAAGGCTATGGCCTAGACTGCCTTCCCCTCGCTTCTCTTTCTACTTATAATTATTATAATCATACAACTAAGCGCTAAAAACCCACAACGGCTCATACAGCACTGTTTCTCTAATAAAATCGTTTTCTGTCCTCAATTACCTGTGCACGAGAATCTCAGCCCTCCATTTCCTTCTCATGTGTTTAACTTAATTAAGTATTTACGGGGTAGTGCTAAAACCAGTATGAGCCACAGCACCTGGTGGAAATGGAAGGGAATCGACTGGAGTCAGGAGGAATTATTATTATTAAATCAAGGGGAAGCGCTAAACCCGGAGGATTATACAGCGCCTGGGTCGGGGGGGATTGTGGAAAGGCATTCAGGCTTAATTCGGGGAATGGAGCACAGAGGATCATTTCTTAAATCTAAGAGCCCCTCACCAACATCAAGGAACCTTCCTTGAGGGGTCAGGGAGGATAGACTCCATACCCTGGATGATGAGCCTTCACCAGTATCAAGGTAACTCACTTTCAAGGGTTAACAATTCAAATTTTTTTTCTCGAGTTTTCAAAACATAATGCCAATGAAGAGCTCCTTGATTTAAGGACTTGGA